ACGTGTGTACGACAAGAGACAAAAGTTGTCGCGTCCGTGCACCAGCACGTAATTACTTTTCAATTTAGCCACTCCACAGGACCGTTAGTTTACTAGTAAATGATCAAATACTGTAGAATACTTTATTTTCGCTTGGAATTTATTTTCGCCATTTTCGCTGAAGGGATTATTCCGTGAAAATAAAATCCTGTGAATATACTTTTTTTCCTATATTTCACATTAAACTCATCAAAAATCAGTGAAAATAAATTCCATACAAAACGCCCAAAAAGCCTTTTCAGCGAAAATTAATTCCAGCGAAAATAAAGTATTCCACAGTATTATTTTTTCAAATCAACATATTTGCAAACACACACACAACAGTGCGCAGAAAATTAGCTTTTATAAAATGAATAATAACCCGTTATGATAGTAACAAGGTCCGAACCGAATTAAAGATTATATATATATATATGTATGTATATGTGCTGCAACATGCTCGGTAGTCAGTAGGCGCAAGTGCCGCTCACTTCCCCGTGCCGCCGCTGGTAGTGGAACTTTGAATTCGGCTCGAACTCGAAGCGTTATAGTAGAGCCTACACATAATTTTTAAGATGGCACCTTGAAATAACATTCTTGTGTGTGTTACAGTAATGTATTTTGAGAAACTTGTCATAAAAATCACTTCTTTTAGAACAATTCCTTGGTACGCAATGATAAAAAAATGCATTATTTAATTTCTCCAAAAAACGAATTTATGAAAAAAGAATCACTATAATTTGTCGAGTCGAGTGTGTGGTGACAATTCCGATTTGCTAAAGTTAGCTTCCTTTATAATATTACCCAGACAAAGTTATCAGTCTAACAGTGAGTCAACTGGACCTGGGCTACTTTTAGACTTGATCAAATTGAACACCAGCTACTCCGTGCATAGATGAAGTAAGACTACGAGAGATTTTCTGTAATATAAATCGGCGAGGGCTTCATATCAGAAGAGTTCGACTAGGACTTAAAACTCCGTGACCAATCGTTGCCGTCGTATAAGGATCGGGAAAAATTAAGATCAAATATTGCATAACGCACTTACGAGCATTTTGAAAATCAGTAAAACAAATATCAATACACA